ACAGCTCGACTTAACAGCATGGCTTTACTTCTTATATTTCGTTTTTATACTTTTCTGCTGGATGGTTAAGACCAAGATAAAACAAGACCTATACAACAAGAGTTGTAGCTTTTGGGTCTGATAAGGTCAGTGAAATCCCCTCAGGATTCATCCTGAGATCCTGTACCTCAGATTGTAGAACCTTTGTCAGTGTCAGCCATGTGGATGAGTCACAGCCATTGCTTGGCCAATGTGCTCTCTGTGGGGGAGACTTTATCTTAACTCTCCCCATAAAAGATAGATAGATAGATAGATAGATAGATAGATAGATAGATAGATAGATAACTTTTCAGTAAATGGAAAATTGACCTTATTATAAATTGGGCATCTCTTATATTGTGGAAAGATATAAGGGTAAATGCTAAAACTGTATTGTTATACTTTATATTTAGAAGAACATAAATGACCTAATAAGTTCTTCAGCCAGTCGCAAATAAATTCATAAACAAATCTTTAGTGAAAAACCCAGTAAGACTATGTTAAACTTAAAAGCTTAATCATAAAAAAACTAAGGAAAGGAAAAGTGAAAAATAAGGGGAAGATTTAACATAACTAACAAGACTACATGGAAAGGATGTAGGTAGTAAAAGAAAAACATAACCCAGCTTTTAAAAAAAGAAAGAAAAAAAAAAGGCCAGTGAGATAGCTCAGTGGACTAAGCGTCCATGATCCCCAGCATCACATGCCGTACTGGCCCCGTCCCTGGATGTGCTGAGCTGACCCCAGAGACCCAGTCTGGTGGTGCACACTGTAATCCCAGCTCTGAGGATGCTGAAAACAGGAGCACTACGAGTCTGAGCTGCACAGAGATACCCTGTACCAAAGACTTTTTTTAAAAAAAGCAGAACCTTAGAAAGGCCCTTCAGTGAAAGGAAAGGCAGCTTATGAATCTAAGGCAAGAATTTACCCTCATCAGGCACAGAGGAGATACAGGGGGAGGCCACCTTGTGCCTGTTCCCCGGGCCCTAGGCCTTTGCAGAACAGCAGGAAGTTCGCTTTCTTAGTCAGTGCTGTTGAGGGTATGGAGTAACTGGGCCTCTCAGATGCCCCTACTGGGAGTGTTCATTATATCTTGATGTGCAAAGTGCTCAAAGTAGTAATGTGGGTTCCAATATCAAACATCTAAGAATAACCCAGTAAATAAATAAATCGTGATATAGTCCTATTATAGAATACTAGACAACACTGGGAATTTCCTTTTTTTAACCCCAGATGGGTCTCGTTATATACCTCAGACTGACCTTGGACTCATGGGCCTCCTACCTCAGCCTTTTAAGTCTGTCCATTTGACCTTTCTTCTGTCCTTCCTTTTTTTTTTTTTAATAC